TTTATTTAAATCGGTGATACACGTAGGATTCAGCAGGGTAAATTTATCCACATATCCACCATCCTTCGAGCCAGGCTGGCACCACCTAGGTCAGGAATCGGAATACACTAGGCGGTTCGCAAAAACCCTGGAAGTGCGAGTTCGGGCACCAGCCAATCAGCGAAGAGCCAGACATTCTGTTTTGGCAAAAATTCCCGAGATCAAGGATTTAAAGCCGTAACAAAGAGAATGTTTGGTGAATTTTATCAAGGGGAAAGACGTTATTGCCCTTCTTCCTGTGGGATTTGGGAAAAGCTTAATATACCGGTTAGCCCTGTTAGTGGCGCATTACATATGTGACGACCAAATAGCAGTGACTGGTTAAATGAAAAAAGTACCTGCCTACCATCGAGCGAATGAATCCTAATGCTGCGAGGTCAGACTGATGAATCTGATGAATCAGACTAGTGATGTGCAGCTCTCCACTGGTGTTGCCGTCTCTTCGTTGTGATGACGTTTACACCGACGTCAACTTCCATTAGGCACCACAGTTTTCTAACACAGAAGTTAACAGATTTTTCTTTCCGCTATCAAGCCATTTTAAATGAATATTGCGATTTAAAATGTGCAAATGATAACATAATGATCCACGGTATCACAGATTATTATTGTATAGGAGACACAAGCACATAACTCTTTAAGATACAATTAGGAAAAGATCTAATTGCAATATTCTTGGTGATGACAATAAAAACTAAACTAAAAACCATAATATGTCACTATGCATATTGAGGGATGACCATAATCTCCTTTCCTTTTCCGAGACATTTCTGAATGTACTCATCAGTTTTGCCCTTTTGAAAATCATTTGCTGTTAACGACAAATACACTCCCAGTCAAACGTTAAGACACACTTTTTCATTTATGTTTCTCCTGTATTTCCAGGATTATTTTTAATCATACATTTTCACTGAAGCCCATGAACACATGAATGCAATACTAAAAAAATAAACTCAAAGAAATGCAAAGAAAAGAAGCCTTTACCCTTTGCTTTGATCGCTGATTTGATTTGCGCTCACTGAGAGAAGGCCAAGAGTGTACAGCACTGTCGGAAAAGCAAAGGATGGATACATAAAAAAAATATTTAGTTGACCTTTTTAATATTTCTTTCCATTTATCTTATGTATATCTATGTACGTATATCTTATATAATTATGTCATGTCTTCTGTATGCATCTGAAATGAAGTGAAGTGGTAAAGATAAAGAAAAAAAAAAGGGTAATTCCACGCCAAATCTCTGAAAGCCCCCAGCCGACCATCTCAGATTTGACTGAAAAAATTCTAGGAGGTTCACACACTTACCAATAGGAAAAGTCTCAAATTTGAGCTCCCAGCTCCTTATAGTTTTGTCATTAAAAAATATTTTGTCAACTCTCCCCTGACCTGTTTTGCTCACTTTCAGACTGCCTTCATAGTCCATGAATACTCTGCATGTGAACACCACATTTTCAAAAATTCATTTAAAAATAAGGAAGAACACTATCACACATTTTTGATATGTTAAAAACAGACATCAAGTCTTTCTAAAACAGTCCATTTTATGTTGGTGGGTGCTATCATTTTTTTGGTATAACATGGCAAACATGGCACCAAATTTATTTTTTTTTTTCGCATTTTTAACACTCAATATCTTCTAGAGCAGACAGGTCAAACTCAGGCCCGGGGACCAAATTTGGCCCGCAATATAATTATATTTTGCCCGCAAGATCATATCAAATATGTATTACAGCTGCCCGCTAGCTACAAATAGACTATAGAGACATTATTTATTAAAAATTGTGTTCTTATTTTATATGATGCTTGTTCTGGATTCAATGTTTAAGCAAAACTATTATTAAACATTTATTTCAATAAGAAAAGGTTTAACATTATATATCTCGAAAGAAGAAAAAACATGCAGATGTTGTTGAAATTTGTCAATAAATATTTAGTTTGGCCCACAACTTAGTCCCAGTTTTAAATTTTTGGCCTCTGTGAATTTGAGTTTGACACCCCTGACCTAGAGTGTTCATCACAGAGGCTCAGTTTTAAAATACAATGTACACAGTGTGTGTGGGAAGGTGTATGTTCAATATCAAACCTCTATCTTTGAAATTACACTTTCCACAGTCCTTCAAAGACGCCCTCAGATTTGAAGAGGAGAATTTTCGAGCAAATTCAAGCCCCCAGAAATCTGTGATAAATCAAAAGCACGTGTCAAAGTTCATATTCTACAAGTACATTTGCCAAATTTTAACCCTTGTAAATTTGAAGGACCGACCTTAAATCATTTTTTAGATCAATCTGAAAGTGGCTCCTCAAAAAACTCAAAACAGGTCAGGGCAGAGGTGACAAAATATCTTTTAATGACAAAAGTTGGGAGCTAAAATTTGGGATTTTTCCTATTAAAAAGTGTGTGAACCACCTAGAATTTTTTCAGTCAAATCTGAAATGATCGGGCAGGGGCATTCGGAGATTTGGCGTGGAATGACCCAAAAATGATAAGGTGTGTCCAAACATTTAACTGGAAGTGCACCTCTTATGATCCTCGCCTCCCAGTTTGAGAAACATTGACCTAAATCACCGTCGTCTTATATTTACACTTTGTTAAGAGCGACCAGTTCAGCCCTGCCCCCCTCTCTCTTTCTCCGTCTCTTCATCCCTCTCTCCTGCTGCTCCGATCCATATTTTTAGCTTATGTAAAGTGTGAATCCATTGTTGTTGATTTGCAGATGTGAAACAGATGTCGGGCTAAGTACAGGGAATCACAGCGACGCTTCATTTTAGCAAGATGTCTCCGTGTCGGCTCTGACGTGATTAAAGGAGAAACGAAGAGAAAAAAATGAACAGGCCCATCTTATCAAATGTTAAGTCTTTATTTGAATAAGTAAAAAAAGGTGCAGGTATCACGTTTTCGTTGATGCTGTTGTTTTGAACCTCGGTGTGTCGTCGTATCGGTGTGTTTTTCCATTAAAATCTATTTACATGTGAAATCATTGTCCTGTTCGGCCTAATGGTTTTGAGTCTTGTACAGAATCCAGATCGAAACACTGCAAAAAATAACACCGACATGAGTTAGAATTACTTGAATTTGCCATCACAATTTGAGTTTATGTATGTATTTAGTGCAAGATTATTTTGGATTTGTTTTAAGATACACACAAACAAAAAAATCTTAAATCTTAAACGTATGGGCCACTGTTTTCCATTTAAAATTAAGTTGATACAAACTAAATAGTTTGAGTTTCGTGTTAATTCAGTTTTATGTTAATTTCATGTAAATAATTTTAGTAATTAAAAAAAAAAAATTCAATAATTCCATGTATTCTTGTGTTTCTTATGAGCAAAACTGCATATATTAGTAAAATAAAACATTTGTAGTAGAAATATCTGGACTATACCTGAATGAATTTAGCTTAAAATGAAATTAAATTGAAACTAGAAATAAAAAAAATAAAAAAAATAGTCCGAATATGTGTGTTAACTGCAAATGGATAACTAATAATAACTAATATTTTGCATGGTCAACACAATTTTTAAAGTGTATCTTGAAATAATTGCAAATAAAATACTAAAATAACAATAAAATTACGCAAATTCAAGTAATTATAAATCATGTATGAATTATTTTTTACACTGCACGGGTGATTAGACATTTATTAAAGTGCTTTTTCTTTTTTCTTCTATCATTGCAACACAAAAATCGCCTTTACATAGCATTACACTGTACAACTGTGTGTGTGTGTTTGTGTGTGTGGGTGTGTGAGTGAGTGTGTGTGTGTGTGTGTGTGTGTGTGCGTCGGGCCTATCTGTCTGAACAGCAGGTGTAACTTACAATAGTTCATTAGCGGCCTCACTCGGAGTACAATTGAAACTTGACATATCATACAAATAAATAGTAGTCATAGCCAGGGAGATTGCATGCAGACATCAGCAATAATGTTTTTTTTTTTTTTTTTTTTTTTTAGTTTTTAGTTTTTTCAAGCAGTAATATTATCCATTACTGTTGGTGCATCGGAGCGGGGTGCAAAAATATCACGTAAAGTGTTTATTTAGTTATACATGTTGAAACCAGTGTGGCTGAAATGGCATAGTTACGATGGAAACTACAGCAGTGGTTCTCAAACTGTGGGACGCGGATTCAAATCTGCTTTTATTACGTTGTTTTAGTTGTGTTTTTGTTTCGTTTCAAAGGGCGGAAGTGGATATGCCAATACATTCAATTCAAATGCAGCAAAAAACGGAGAGTTTAAATTTTAGGGTAAAATATTTCAGAGTTGTTTTTAATCCAAAAAAGTGTTATTTTAACTCTTAAATGGGGGTTCGAGTTGGGGTTATTTGCTAGAGTTGATATGGTGGAAGTAAATTCAACTTCCCCTAGTGTTCATTCAACTTCCCTTAGTGTTAATTTGTCACCTTTTTGTACATAATTTCATCTTAAATTAACTAAAATAAAGTGTAAAAATAAAACACCTCATATGTTGTTAAGCTAAATCTCGACTTTTATATAAGTCCGATCTGTTCTAGAGTTAATTTAACACTTTTTAGAAATGATACTTAAGTAACACTCGACCAAAGTTGATTTCAGGGTTAAACAGGAACTTTGGTCCAGTGTTACTTAATTTTTTTTTTTTTTTAATTTAAATTAACAGGTTGGAATCATTTAAACCCTGAGTAAATGTTAAAATTGATTCTGTGAGAGTACATTTTAACATTACACTTTTTGCTGTGATGGTTTCATTTTCCTGTTATAGTTAAACTCTCTTAGTCCTGAATGCAAATATGCTGACATTTAGAAGTTTAGAGGTAGTTTAGCCATTCAAAAGATAGATTTATTTATTTATTTTTTGTGTTAAATTAGTAATTGCTATGGAAACAGTCATCATTCTGAAATCCATGTGGTTAATCTGAAGAGTTATGATTCTATGGTGATTCAGGGCTTTTTTGTTTAATAAAAGTCCATGCTCAGACATTGTTTTTATTAGTCAGCAGTGGTGGAACCTAACAAAGTAAAAGTAGTGACAGTACTGAACTTAAGTATATATTTTTGCTGTTCGCACTTTAGTTTCGATTTTATTTCACTACGTTTGAGAGCAGGTATGTGTACTTTCTACTCCTCTACATTTCTGAACTAGAAAAGGCTGAGGGTTTATTTTTAACACGTTCATAATTTGAGCAAGCAAAAATATATACATAAAATCAGATAAGGAAAAAAACGATTGATACATTTTTTCTGGTGAACAAAATAAAGCACTTTTTGAAAATCTAAATCTCTGTGTAAAATGTAAAGTGTAAAATTTACTTGAATAGATTTTTTCATGTGACACTTTTACTTATGTTTTTGCTTGGGTATTTGTACTTTTACTTAGGTAAGTTAGAGTACTTCCTTCCACCACAGCAACATTCTTTTAGTTATATTTTTACTTTTCTCTAAAGTTAGGGCAAAGTAGCGGTGGACAACATAAATACATTCGATTCAGTGGTTTCAACTTCTTGTTATGAGCCACATTTGTTTTGTTTTGTTTGCAAATATGCCGACATTTTGAGGACTTTTCACAATTCAAAACTCTTCTTTTCTTTAAATTATTGAAGCGTGGACTCTTAGACGAAGGTGTAGTTAATTACTTCTCAAGTGAAATACGTTTACCAAAACTGATGTAAAAGATTTTGATGAAAGAACCCAGGATTTCAGAAAATTAAGGGCTAATCCGGATTTAGAATTATTTAATCCGTCATTTTGTCATTTATTAGTCCTGTTTTAGTCATGATCAAGTCTTGGTAGTATTCCACAAATCTGAGAACCACTGCACTACAAATCTAAACAAAAAAAACAACAAAAATGCTGTGTGAAATGCCTGAACCCGTGTGTTAAAACAATAAAAACACATATTATCAAAAGACTACTCCTTGTCCATTTCTACAAACTGTGAGTGGTTATCGGGCGATTTGCTGTGCGTTTTACTCAAGTGCAGTTTGACCGCGTGGTTGCTGGCAAATGTCCGGCAGCACAGTTTACATTTGAACTTAGAGTCTATGTCCTCTTCGGAGATTAGCGCATCCGGAGAGGGCCGTACGCTTAGGGCCTTGGGCAGTTCGGGCTCCTCGACTTTCGTGTGGTGCTCTACCGGCATTTTACACATGTCTTTGATCTGGAACCCAAGATGGGACTCCAAATGCGAAATAAAGGTAGCGGGTGACCTAAACTGTGAAGCGCAGTCATTACAGTAGAAAACCGGATGACCTGAATCCATGTTTTTGAGGAATTTTGTCCCTCCGGTTTTCCGTAGCTGGTATTTGACATTCGCTAACCAATGGCTTATGGTCGTCATGGAGAGTCCGGTGAATTTGGAGATTTGCATGCGTTCTTGAGGGCCCAAATCTGACAGTAAGTATTTGCCTTCTGAAGTCTGAAATAAGCTCGACGCGAACTGGGCTTGCAGGATAAGAAGGTGGCGCGGATTCCAATTGGACTGCCTCCCTTTGCGTTTGTGGACGGAGTAGACTTCGGCGGAGACGTCTTCGAATCTCCTCACGTCTGATTCCAATTTCATCGTCGGGAGTCGCGACTGGAGGGACGGTTTTGGCGTTGTAGCTTTCGGCAGCACCTTAACCATGTCGGCGATGTCGGATAACGCGTATTTCTGCGGTACCGGCGTTGACGTTTGCAAAAGCGAAGAACTTGCCTTGTTATGTTTTGATTTCGTCAAGTCTATAGGCTGGTCATCGTTGACAAAAATGAAAGGGTTATCCGGTTTGCTCCTCACTGGACTCCCGAGCATCCGAGATTGTTTTTCATTGCTACGGTTCATGTCTGCAAAAATGGCTTGGGCATGAGCTGCTAATTTATCCTGCCTGGAGTTGTTAGGTTTATTAGCTTTGCCTAGATGCGTGTTCAAAACGGACTGCAGAGCGCTAAGAGGGTTAACTGCCAGCATATCCGCGGTGTCATTGGTAGCCTCTGAAGTGCCGCGTCCGTTGCTGGCGCAGGGGCTCGGCGTTGTCTTGCCTCTGTCAGAAAAATCCGGGCTCAACTTGTCTTTGATCGCATCTTCATTCACGCAGTCGGCATCCAGCTTTGAAGAGGACGAGGAATCATCTTGACAATCGCTGTCATCGTTCTCGCCGAGATCAAACTTCAAATTCTGACTTTCTTTACCATCGCTAATGCCAACCTTTTCCTTTTTGATGTCCGTATTTTGATGCAGTCCCTGGGGAGGAGAGTAGAGTTTTCCCTTGGGGGCGATGGGTCTCAGCTTGTGGTTAAACGCGTGCTTTAGCTGGGCGGGTGGCGAAGTGGAGAGAGGAGGGCTTTTGATAATGCCTGATAGTTGATAGGCGGCGTGGATGCTTGGGTAAGCGCTCCAACTTGGCGTACCAGTTTGCGCTTTATTGATGGCAGAGGCCACAGTATTGGCTAATGATTTCAGAATATCCCCTCCTCCTCCTGATTCTTTCTCCAGGTCCTCCTCTCGCAAATACGGGTACTTAAAAGTCCCGTTCCCTGGTTTTTGGTCATCACTCTCTGCCTTATCTTCTTTAGCGCTTCCTTCTTCCATTTTATCTGAAGTAGAGTCCCCCTGACTGTCCTTCTCGCTCCCTGCGGGCGTTTTGGGCGACGAAACCATCTCCCCGTCTTTCTCGTTCGTCGCCGGTTCCGCTAACCCTTGCATCTTTTCGATCGCCAACGGATCGAGCGCGAGCTGTTTGCCCTTTTTGGAAGCCGAGTTTGTCACTTTGATAAAATGTCCCGTGACCATCATATGAGTGGTGAGCTGCTGGAGCGTGTCGTGCGAGCTGCCGCACTCCATGCATTTAAGGATCTGCGACTTGCACGTCTCAAACTGCCACGTGTAGCTCGCTCCGTTCTGATAGCCGTAGCGGTTGTTGGCGTTGGACATGTTCGCCGCCCGTTGAGCGTCGGTGAATCCGGAAACGCCAGTCGTAGAGTCAGGAGAGCATGGCCTAGCGACTTCGAACGCTCGCTTTTTCGCTGGTGGCAAAAGTTTGGGAGTTATAACCGGGATTGGCTCTTTTAAAGGCACTTTCTGGTAATGTTTCGTTTTAATCATATGCACGCTCAAATCTTGCAACGAGTCGAACGAATGGCCGCAGAACATGCATTTTAAAACTTTCTGAGCGTCCTCTTTGCCTTCTAGGTCTTGCAGGTTTCTTTTACGAGATTTGGAAGAGGAAGCGGAGTTGCCTGCCTGTTTGCTATGGTTATTGTCTTGGTAGTGTCCGCTTTTGTTCATGTGCACCGTTAGCTCCACCAACGTGTCATAAGCGGCACTGCAGTCCTTACAACGAAACCTGCTCGCTCCCGTGAACACCGATCCGCACGGTTTAGCGCTCTGCCGGTAAAGATGCACGGAACTGAAAAGATTCGGTTTGGATGTAGGCTTGGGAGAGACAGTCTGTTGTAGAGTTTTCGACAACGCATCCTGGTGCCAATCAAACTCGCTTTTATTATTATTACTGGCGGTGTTGTTAGCGCTTCCGTTAGTGCTATCGCAATTCGCTTTGCTCGCGTTTTTTGCTACTTTCAAATCCACTCCCGTCCAGTAGGAATCGGACAAGAAGTTTGCATAGGCGGCGCGCATTTTCTCCAAACTACTTCCTGTTGTCTCCTCTTTGTTTTTGGATCCACGGCTCGCTTCGTCATCGCGTTGGCTTTCCGGGGGCGAGGAGGCGGTCTTGAAATCGGACAATCGGTCGCTACAGTCACTCAACCGGGATTCCAGTTCTGCTTCCTGGTTGGAAAGCACGCTGATCGGGGAGTTTGCGTTGCTGTAGGTGTTGGTGCTTTTGTTGTCCATATCGCCCCCTTCTGGTGATAGTTTGGGGCTGGTTTTCTCCGAGCACTCCTCTTCTGTCTGAGCGTCGTTGTCTCCATCTTCCTCCGCGATGGGTTCCTCCAAAATGGCGTCCTCGTCAGGCATGTACACTGAAATAGAGAGAAAGAGAAAGGGGAATTAAACTTCGAGCAAGATATGTTCTGGTTCTTATGGTTCCTTTAAACATTATGAAAATTATTTAAAGGCCCAATATAACATTTTTTTCTATATATTTGTGCAAAGGTCTTACCCCAGTACAGATTTATTGTATAAGATAAGATGACCTTTAATTGTCCCACAATGGGGAAATTCCAGAGTTGCAACGCACAGTTCAAGAACAGCATGAGAATAGAAATAGGCACTCAAAAATCAAGATGAATATCTATTAGAAAAACTGACTTAAATGAAGGAGTATAAGCAGCTTTTAACATCAACATAAGTCTATTGTGCACTATTTGAATCAAATTAGTGTTTTATGGTTAATCAGGTGATGCACTATTAGCATGCCAGTTGTTGTTAGTGATGGCAAACTCTGCTCTGGGCTCTGAATGTTGTGAAAAGAGATTATAAACTCATCGTTGTGAATAATTAGGACTCTCTGAATGCATAAGGTAAGTGAGGAATAACTGTGGACCACTGCAAGTTGTTTAAAAAACAAGTTCTTTTTTTTTTTTTTAAAGAAAGTAAAAATCAGGTAAAGCGCCTTTAAAATAGAATGCAGAGAAACTGACCGTCTGCAGACATCAGAGAGGGAATGGTTCTACAGAGGAATATTACAGGGGAAAAAAAAAAAAAAAAAATTTTATGAAAGTTTTTTTTTTCAAATAAAATAAAGAAGTACTTTCAAAACATTGTTTTTTGATTGCACGGGAAATGTGACCCAGATGTCATGTTTTTCAAATGACAAAAAAATAAATAAAAAATTCTGTTCCACTAACAAAAGTTACATAGAAAGGTTTTGCTAACATAATATTTAATTAGTCACAATATGAACAGAAAAGACTAAAAGAAACTAGATTTGGTTTTGTTGTTGAAATAATGAACTTTTTGTGAACAATTTAGTTTTTATTCAACTATCAGTCGAATCAAGGTCTTTTTTAAAACCAGCCAAAGTATATTTTAAAAGTGCACTATGAGAAAGTTTCTCGTATTATGTAAAGTACAAGGATATATAATAAGAATTTTCAAACTTGCAGATGAACAAAGAATCTAACAAATATCTAGTCCAGACCAGTAAATGTTAGTTATTTCAAATGTGTCTAAATTATAGTGTAAAGTGTGTAAACCATCCAAAAGACACATCTTTAGCAACATGCAATTCAAGACTGCCCACTGATTTAGTGCTGCCCAGCGCAGTAAAACCTCCATGGAGACAAGCATGTGCCCACCAGAAAAGTTACACAGTGCACCTTTAAGTCGTTAATAACCATGGAAACGACATGTGATTCACGACTGCGCATTGACCTAGCGCAGTGTCCTCTCTATGCCTCCCTCCACTTGAGATGTTTACAACAATCTCCGCCCAATGAGTGACACTGGCAAATTGATCGGGCCGCTCTTGTTAAGTGTTACTCCGAATGTCCGCTGCCATGGCGATTATACAAATAAAAGCTTTTGTTCTCCACGGGAATAGCCCCTAGCCCCTTTAACTGGCGCGCTGTAAAACCCCATTCAAACGTCAAAATCGCTTGAGTGAAAAATATTAAAAAACGACTATCCACCATCTTAATTTGTAGCGCTTCATGTTTGGAAAATTGATTTTGTTGACAGAGGAATAAAATGGAAAACGGCGGCCGATGTTGGAAAGATGATGTTATGCGCTCAGAAAAGCAGATTCAATTATCAGAGTTGAAGCGACACAATTAAACCAAATTTGGAGAGATTACGCGCAATCTGTCTCGTCATTTTTCCCTGACAATCTGGTAAACAGCAATTACAAGTTTGATTATTCACCTGCACACACTCACAACACAAACGCTATGGCTTTAATTAACACGTAATTAAACGACAGTATCTGTAATTGACATGTTTCGCATCGGCCAATTAGAGTTAGGCTGAGTCAGTATAGATTGTTTTCACAGGACAATAGTGGGACGAGACGCCAAATGGAACAATATAGAAGACAGGGCTGTCAAAAGTATCCAAATATCTGACACCAACAGTGAGTGTCGAGTCCAGTCTTAAGTACTGAAGTAGAGTTTGAAGTTTTAGTGTCGTGATAACATTACAGGTACAACATTTTACAAAAACAAGTATTATTTTCACTCCAAGTAGTAAAAAAATGTCTTAAGTTGCTTTCAAAGTAATGGTTTTCATTGCACAATGACATTTTGTGAATAGCTATAAATGGTACAGACTGTGATGGATACAAGAAAAAAAAGTAGAAATACTTAAAGTGCCCATACTGCACTATTTTCTGATCTATGTTCTATTGTTTACTCATCACAAACAGACCTGGAGTTGTGTTTTGTTTCATTCACACATGTTGAACACACAAACCCTGCAGATTTAGGCAACAGGAGAAATTCAATTGTCAACTGGACTAAAGTTTATTTTGGTCGAAAAACTTTCGCAGCTCATCCAAGCTGCTTCTTCAGTTGTGGTCAGAATGCAGGTGGACACTTCCTTATATCTGTCTGCAGGGAGGAGCTAAATACACTGAAGCTACTCTGAAACTAACACACATCCTTGTTTATACTTTCTGTTTGTTAGTTGAACTTGCGCTGAGTGTGGGGTCATCTTAACAAAAATAGCCTCTTTAACTCCTCTCTCAAACCAGTTCTTTTCTCTGGCTCAGATCTGTACCTCACTGTCCACAAAGGAGTGGCCTGTAGCTTTTATATAGAGATGAACAGTAGACTGAGGTCCACTACTGCTCTCTTGTCTGTGTTGATACATCCTCTCGCAAAGTGACTGTTTTGTTTCTCCAATGTAACGCTCTCTGCAGTCTTCCACCTCACTGAAAGGAGTAGACCTTTCAGTGTTTTAGACTTAGTTTGTGGCTCACTGTTTTGTTTTGGGCCAGTTAATGTCTTAAAGTGTTTGTAGGTTTGAAATAGACTGGGATTTCATGTTGTCTGAAAATCCTCTGTAGTTTTTCAAAACACCAGCCAGATAAGGAATAGTTACACATGTTTAGGCTGATTTCTTCTCTGAAACTGAAACCACTCTGTTCCACCTTGTGATGTCATGTGGTGATATAGGAAGTGCTCCAGTGTGTTTTTAAACTCCATACACCTTCACTAGAATCATTTAGATAATTTCAGTCCTGGAACTGCCATTCTCTAGTCAACTAAAGGTAAAAAGTAGCTGTTAACGTGAAAACTACCGCTTCATGACATCACAAGGTGCAAAAGAGCATTTTGAGCTTAAGGGCTGACAAAAATTGCTCTGATGGCCGCAGTTTGGACTCCCTGGTCTGAGAAAAGAATCATTCTGATTGCACTACAAATGTGACCCATGTGTCATCCTTTTCAAATCTGTTCCACTAACCATTCCCATTTTCATAAAACACAATATTACAAAGCAAAGTTTTGCGCACACAACATTTAATTAGTCACAATTCAAAGTGGAAAACTAAATGAAACAAAATTTGGTTGATTTTGTTTTGTTGTTGAAATAATACACTTTTTATGAATAATTAAATTTCTCTTTTTAAACTGACACTGTCCAATCAGATGCCTGCACAAATGTTGCCCTGTAACAAGTTTGAAGTCATCTTTTATTAAAATTTGAATAACAAACCAAACAGTATATTACATTTGAGGTTGGAATTGGAATTAAAAACAGAGAGAGGAGAGGAACCCTGCACTGAACATAGTGCTGAAATCAAAACTACACACACACGCATGGTTAAAAGTCAACATTTATGACTATAGCAAACAACCTACGTAAAATATCACAATAAATATCGTACAGTGAGCTTTATATCGTGAAAATATCGTACCAAGAGATTTGGATATCGCTACATCCCTACAAATAAGAGCAAGAGAAAAGACCGTAATGTGCTTTTTGTTTTTTTGGACATAAGAATTACAATGGCCCCTAAACTACCTCTGAGATTTTGACGTTATCAAATTGTACAGACTATAGATTGTGTTCACGTGACATTACAACGAGGGATGTCATGATACGATAATCTCTTGATTCGATATTTTCACAATAACATCTCATTGTATGATATCTATTGTGATGTTTTATAGATTCTAACCACATTGTGTATATGGTACTTTTTTGTCAAAATCCAAAAAATGAAGATTTAAAAGTGCTTATAACAGTTATTTCATCATGTAGATTGATTGAGCATAGCAAAGGATCATGGTATATGTAGTTCTCTATTTTTTTTGTTGGTGCACCATAACCATGAATTTAAGCAAAGAAATGAGCAATTCGATATATTGTGATGGTCCACGATATTATTGTGAGACTTTTGACGATACAACAACATGATATTTTGGTTATTGTTACATCCCTAATTACATAACAATATATAACATTGTAGAATCTCTATAGTTTAAGATGAGTTGGAGGACAGGTCAGAATTCTCAGGTGGAATTTGCAGATTTGTTGACCTGGTTTATGGTTCATATCAGTGTAATTACTTAGCCAGGCTGGCGCCACCTAGTGCATTTGCTCAGTTTCATTTCTCTCCAGCGACGAGGTCAGGAATCGGAATACACTAGATACACGATTTGCAAGAAACCCAGAAGCTGTAGACTGAGCACCGGCCAATCAGCGAAGAGCGATGAAGCCATGACCTTTTTGTGGTTCAGCACAACAGTAAACAAAGCGGTCAAGATGGATGTAGATGAAGACAGACATTCTGTGTTGGCAACAGTTCCCGAGATCGAGGATTTAAAGCCAGAACAAAGAGAATGTTTGGTGAATTTTACCAAGGGGAAAGACGTTATTGTCCTTCTTCCTATGGGATTTGGGAAAAGCTTAATATATCAGTTAGCCCTTTAGTGGCGCATTACATATGTCACGACCAAATAACAGCTATTGGTTAAATTAAAAAAAGTACCTGCCTACTGTCGAGCGAACGAATCCTAATGCTGCGAGGTCAGACGGTTTACACAAAGTGAAACCGGCAGATGAATCGGGCTTGTAA